CTGGGAGAGGGAGGGAGGTGGTGCGAGAGGGAGGGAGGTAGTGGGAGAGGGAGGGAGGTAGTGGGAGAGGGAGGGAGGTGGTGGGAGAGGGAGGGAGGTGCTGGGAGAGGGAGGGAGGTGGTGGGAGAGGGAGGGAGGTGGTGGGAGAGGGAGTTAGTGGGAGGGAAGATGTCTTGTGGACTCTGGGACAGAGATGTATATGCGAGATAATCAAAGAAAACTAAAAGTTGTGTTTCTATCAAAAGTTGGAATAAAAGGAGCAGCTGTGGGCAGGGAGGAAGCTCTCCCCCACCAGTGTTGGGGCTGTGGGCAGGGAGGAAGCTCTCCCACCAGTGTTGGGGCTGTGGGCAGGGAGGAAGCTCTCCCACCAGTGTTGGGGCTGTGGGCAGGGAGGAAGCTCTCCCACCAGTGTTGGGGCTGTGGGCAGGGAGGAAGCTCTCCCCCACCAGTGTTGGGGCTGTGGGCAGGGAGGAAGCTCTCCTCCACCAGTGTTGGGGCTGTGGGCAGGGAGGAAGCTCTCCCCCACCAGTGTTGGGGCTGTGGGCACGGAGGAAGCTCTCCCACCAGTGTTGGGGCTGTGGGCAGGGAGGAACCTTCCCCCACCAGTGTTGGGGCTGTGGGCAGGGAGGAAGCTCTCCCCCACCAGTGTTGGGGTTGTGGGCAGGGAGGAAGCTCTCCCCCACCAGTGTTGGGGCTGTGGGCAGAGAGGAAGCTTCCCCCACCAGTGTTGGGGCTGTGGGCAGGGAGGAAGCTTCCCCCACCAGTGTTGGGGCTGTGGGCAGGGAGGAAGCTCTCCCCCACCAGTGTTGGGGCTGTGGGCAGGGAGGAAGCTCTCCCACCAGTGTTGGGGCTGTGAACAGGGAGGAAGCTTCCCCCACCAGTGTTGGGGCTGTGGGCAGGGAGGAAGCTCTCCCCCACGAGTGTTGGGGCTGTGGGCAGGGAGGAAGCTCTCTCCCACCAGTGTTGGGGCTGTGGGCAGGGAGGAAGCTTCCCTCACCAGTGTTGGGGCTGTGGGCAGGGAGGAAGCTCTCCCCCACCAGCGTTGGGGCTGTGGGCAGGGAGGAAGCTCTCCCACGTGTTGGGGCTGTGAACAGGGAGGAAGCTTCCCCCACCAGTGTTGGGGCTGTGGGCAGGGAGGAAGCTCCCCCACCAGTGTTGGGGCTGTGGGCAGGGAGGAAGCTTCCCCACCAGTGTTGGGGCTGTGGGCAGGGAGGAAGCTTCCCCACCAGTGTTGGCAGCTGTGAGCAGGGAGGAAACTCTCCCACCAGTGTTGGGGCTGTGGGCAGGGAGGAAGCTTCCCCACCAGTGCTGGTGCTGTGAGCAGGGAGGAAGCTTCCCCACCAGTGTTGGGGCTCTGGGCATGGAGGAAGCTTCCCCACCAGTGTTGGCAGCTGTGAGCAGGGAGGAAACTCTCCCCCCAGTGTTGGGGCTGTGGGCAGGGAGGAAGCTTCCCCACCAGTGTTGGTGCTGTGAGCAGGGAGGAAGCTTCCCCACCAGTGTTGGGGCTGTGGGCAGGGAGGAAGCTTCCTCACCAGTGTTGGTGCTGTGGACAGGGAGGAAGCTTCCCCACCAGTGTTGCAGCCGTGGGCAGGGAGGAAGCTTCCCCACCAGTGTTGGGGCTGTGGGCAGGGAGGAAGCTCTCCCACCAGTGTTGGGGCTGTGAGCAGGGAGGAAGCTTCCCCACCAGTGTTGGGGTTCTGAGCAGGGAGGAAGCTTCCCCACCAGTGTTGGCAGCTGTGGGCAGGGAGGAAGCTCTCCTACCAGTGTTGGAACTGTGGGCAGGGAGGAAGCTCTCCCACCAGTGTTGCAACTGTGGGCAGGGAGGAAGCTCTCTCACCAGTGTTGGGACTGTAGGCAGGGAGGAAGCTCTCCCACCAGTGTTGAGGCTGTGGGCAGGGAGGAAGCTCTCCCACCAGTGTTGGTGCTGTGAGCAGGGAGGAAGCTTCCCCACCATTGTTGCAGCTGTGAGCAGGGAGGAAGCTTCCTCACCAGTGTTGGGGCTGTGGGCAGGGAGGAAGCTCTACTTTCTTTTTTGTCTCTTTAGGGAAAGGAAAGCTTCACCCTTCCCACTGTTAACCAGAGTTAAACACTGGAAGAGGAAGTCCATTCCTCTTACAATATTGCATGCCAGCATTATAATTGACCTCTTCCGTCTTTCCCATAGTGTGGCGAGGCCCTGTTCCCGTAGAGTTTTCTTCCTAGCTCAGTCCCCTCAGCGCTGGCACGAGCCTTGTTGCAAATATTTGCACCTTTTCTCTAGTTTTATGAGATGTTAAAGTCACCGTTCTATGGCGGGGTGACATAAGACCTGGTCTCGGGTAAGCTATATATATATATATATATATATATATATATATATATATATATATATATATATATATATATATATATATATATATATATATATATATATATATATATATATATATATATATATATATATATATATATATATATATATATATATATATGGCATACACTGCATTCGTTATTCTGGTGATGTATGCCTCTGGTGTCGGGTCTCTTATGTCTACTCTTAAGTCTTTCAGTTTTGTCGAAGTAGGAATTCGTCTTCACTTTTATACTGTGCCGTATTGGAGGCCTCCTTCCAACGGTTCATATTCCATAATCTTGCGTTTGCCAGAGTTAAAATCTAATAGCCATTTTTCGGCCTGGAAATGTTCTAGTTCACCTTTCAGTTACTGCAGTCCTCCTCACTTGTGATTCGCCTCATTAGCTTAGCTTTGTTAGCAAACGTTGATAGTAATGAGCTTACTATCTCGTTTATCTTCATTCTCAAGATAATTGTTTTTTTCTTATTATTATTTTCTACCACAGACGTGGCCACACATTTACAATGCTAACCAATGTTAATATTATAGATTTCAGTGGCTACATAACAGGTGCCATGTAGACACATGGTCAATAAGAGCTTAGTGTTCGGCTCGCCCAGTGTACGACTCAACACAGTCCATTAATAAACATAAGTGTATATTGACCGTGAAGTTGAACACAGCTGTGTATATATATTCCCATGGCCATTCTGCGATGTGCATTTCCCCTAAGGCCAATCAGCTTCTGGAGGATTAAATACATCCTTGACAGTAGATTACTGAAAAACTTACTACAATACTGTAGGGTTTGAATGAAGGGGAAGGAAAGACCCAGTTTATGTATAAGTGTATTTAAAAAACACATTTTCTGGGGTACATCCTTTCTCAAGATGCAATGTTTTGAACCAAGTTTCTGGGAACTTGCGTCTATATGTCTGGCAGAGAGCCTTACCTGGCGTCATTAGACGTTGTTGTGATTATGCTTACCATTGTGGTGACTTGTAGGATATGATGGGCAGGGTTCTGAGGAAACATTATCTCTACTCTGAATATCAGAAGGTCATCTGTGCTTATATGACTTAACACTTTTCATATACAACTTGTCAAAAAAATTTGGTTGAAATCGAACGAGTTTTCATTTATTGCATTTTTGGGGCAAATTGGAACCTAATGCCCCTTTAACGAGATTAATTAGTTTTGCTTCATTAAGAATAATTTTATGGTTACATAAAAGGGAGCCGGTCGGCCGAGCGGACAGCACGCTGGTCTTGTGATCCTGTGGTCCTGGTTTCGATCCCAGGCGCCGGCGAGAAACAATGGGCAGAGTTTCTTTTACCCTATGCCCCTGTTACCTAGCAGTAAAATAGGTACCTGGGTGTTAGTAAGCTGTCACGGGCTGCTTCCTGGGGGTGGAGGCCTGGTCAAGGACCGGGCCGCGTGGACACTAAAGCCCCGAAATCATCTCAAGATAACATGAATCTGCTTTACTCAAATGTTTATTGCCCTATTCTGTCTCTATATAATCTATAATTACTCGTTCTACTATCTTGAGGTTATCTTGAGATGATTTCGGGGCTTTAGTGTCCCAGCGGCCCGGTCCTCGACCAGGCCTCCACCACCAGGAAGCAGCCCGTGACAGCTGACTAACACCCAGGTACCTATTTACTGCTAGGTAACAGGGGCATTCAGGGTGAAAGAAACTTTGCCCATTTGTTTCTGCCTCGTGCGGGAATCGAACCCGCGCCACAGAATTACGAGTCCTGCGCGCTATCCACCAGGCTACTAGGCGTTTTTATTTGATATTTGAGCAGTTGTATACAATTTTACTATTAATAAAATCTATCCAGTTATTAAAATCCCATCAATGGTTAGAAATTGCATTATTCTCATCAATTTTGTTTAATACTGATTTTTTTTTTCTTCATCAACTGTTTTGTGTGAACAGGGACCAGTCTCTCCAACATGTAATTAGTTGCAATCATTACAGTTTATCACATAAACACCATTACCTACATTGTTCTTAATATTATTTCCATTATCAAACGTTACCATTGCTACCATTACAATTTACCATTACCATGATTACCTACGCTAACATCACTCCTGCTGTTATTTTTGTTAACTACAACATCAACTTTATTAACAAAACCATCAATCATGTCAGTTTTGTTATAACTACTATTTTTACTAAGTTTGTTGTGGCAAAGCTTTCTTCTAGAGAATTAGAAAATTTTTGGAAATCAAATACAATTTTGTAATTAGTGTCACAGAGATCTTTCGATATCATTTCAAAATTTTTGTTTTTGAACACTGAGAAACCACTTTTAGATTGTTTTAAATACTTATAAGTGTATTAAAAAAGGTGCTTTTTGTTAATACACTTATACATAAATTGGGTCTTGCCTTCACCTTCATAAGATTACTATCAAACAACCAAGTATACTTTAGCCCTGTATATAATTAAAAATTATAACTAACATTATCGTCAAGAGAAGGAACATTATGGTAACCACAACTGGTTGCTGATCAAGCAACAGGAAGTATACTCTAGTATACAGGAAGTATACTCTAGTATACAGGAAGTATACTCTAGTCCTGAACATTGTCCAGGACTAAAGTCAACGCTCACTGTATGTTCACCCCTGTAAACCATGAACAACTTTCGGTCTACATCTCGTGATGTCGGTCAGTTAGATGATCCAAGTTGTAATGATACAAGGTGGAATGATCCAAGTTGTAATGATCTAAGGTGGAATGATCCAAGTTGTAATGATCTAAGGTGGAATGATCTAAGGTGGAATGATCCAAGTTGTAATGATCCAAGTTGTAATGATCCAAGGTGGAATGATCTAAGGTGGAATGATCCAAGGTGCAATGATCCAAGGTGGAATGATCCAAGGTGCAATGATCCAAGGTGTAATGATCCAAGTTGTAATGATCCAAGTTGTAATGATCCAAGTTGTAATGATCCAAGTTGTAATGATCCAAGGTGGAATGATCTAAGGTGGAATGATCCAAGGTGGAATGATCCAAGGTGGAATGATCCAAGGTGCAATGATCCAAGGTGGAATGATCCAAGGTGGAATGATCTAAGGTGGAATGATCCAAGGTGCAATGATCCAAGATGGAATGATCCAAGGTGGAATGATCTAAGGTGGAATGATCCAAGGTGGAATGATCCAAGTTGTAATGATCCAAGGTGGAATGATCCAATGTGGAATGATCTAAGGTGGAATGATCCAAGGTGCAATGATCCAAGGTGGAATGATCTAAGGTGGAATGATCCAAGGTGGAATGATCCAAGTTGTAATGATCCAAGGTGCAATGATCCAAGTTGTAATGATCCAAGGTGGAATGATCCAAGGTGGAATGATCCAAGGTGGAATGATCCAAGGTGCAATGATCCAAGGTGGAATGATCCAAGGTGCAATGATCCAAGGTGCAATGATCCAAGGTGCAATGATCCAAGGTGGAATGATCTTAGGTGGAATGATTCAAGGTGGAATGATCCAAGTTGTAATGATCCAAGGTGCAATGATCCAAGTTGTAATGATCCAAGTTGTAATGATCCAAGGTGGAATGATCCAAGGTGGAATGATCCAAGTTGTAATGATCCAAGGTGGAATGATCCAAGGTGGAATGATCCAAGGTGGAATGATCCAAGGTGGAATGATCCAAGGTGGAATGATCCAAGCTGGAATGATCCAAGTTGTAATGATCCAAGGTGGAATGATCCAAGGTGCAATGATCCAAGGTGGAATGATCCAAGGTGGAATGATCCAAGATGGAATGATCCAAGATGGAATGATCCAAGCTGGAATGATCCAAGCTGGAATGATCCAAGCTGGAATCATCCAATTTGGAATCATCCAATTTGGAATCATCCAAGCTGGAATCATCCAAGCTGGAATCATCCAATTTGGAATCATCCAAGCTGAAATCGTCCAAGCTGGAAGCAATGCGATTTCATCCCTGTGGCGCAAAGACACGAAAATAAACAAAAATTATCTGGTAACCAAACTTTGATACAATGAAATAAACATTAAATTCACATTTGTTTGTATATTAAAGCAAACAAGTAGAGAACTTAACGTATAAATTTGGCCAAATGAAAAATGAAATAATTATTATAAATTACAGAAACAGAAAACTAATTATGGAAAACTAATCGAAATAAACAAACTCATTTAAATAGTTCTTCCATCACAAGAGTACAAATCACTGGGTTAATTTTCTCCCTAAGCTCCTGTCTGGTTGATACCTGGTTGATACCTGGTTGATACCTGGTTGATACCTGGTTGATACCTGGTTGATACCTGGTTGATACCTGGTTGATACCTGGTTGATACCTGGTTGATACCTGGTTGATGGGGTTCTGGGAGTTCTTCTACTCCCCAAGCCCGGCCCGAGGCCAGGCTTGACTTGTGAGAGTTTGGTCCACCAGGCTGTTGCTTGGAGCGGCCCGCAGGCCCACATACCCACAACAGCCCGGTTGGTCCGGCACTCCTTATAAATCTATGTCTGTGTAAACTAAAATTCAGAGCTGTTTTATAGGAATAATTCATTTGTCAGAGTTCTGCGGACTCGAACGCACTGTCTAGTCTGACAGGTAGAAAGGACAGGTAGAAAGGACAGGTAGAAAAGACAGGTAGAAAGGGCAGATAGAAAGGTCAGGTGCCTGGTAGGTACCCAACCCATCCTCGTATTTAGACAGTGCCTATTGAGACGATCGTCAATAGTCAGAATTCGTACATTCTTAGCTTTTAGATAGTAGTGTAGAGGCTAGTAAGGAATTCGTATCTCACGCTTTCCCCTACTCCCAGGCCGGGATTCATGAAAGATTTACCCAACCACCTACGAAACCTCTACATCTTCCCTCAATTAAGGCCACTTTGTTTACGTTTATTGAACAGTTTACGAGCTTGTAAACTTCACAATCCAAGGGAGCTCTAAACTGTTTACCAAACATTCACTTACCCGCCATGCTTGAGGAAAGGTCGCAGATTGAGGTCGTATAAATGCTCGAATCCAGGTCCAGCGTCGTCCAGAACTAAGCGGTTAGTATAACAGCCAGACAATGCTACCAGCGCGCGTTCGAGTCGCAGCCAGTACTCCGAAAGCCAAAAAAAAAAAAACTCTCACATCGACTTTGTCGAAACAAATCATTACTCAACCAACACAGATTTACGTAAAAATCTGTGTTTTTTAAACGTAATTTTACGTAAAAATCACAACTTTCTGACACTCTGTCAGACCCAACAACTTCCGGCTGTAGTCACGAACAGGGAACAACGCTCCTCTGTGATTCCCAATTTCATTAAAGTTTCGGTCAACTTAAACGATTACATTTAAAACTTAAACTAAATGGTCTTCAGGGTCTGAATTTAGTTAAGAAACTTGATCTAATGTTAATAGTCGAAGTGAATGAAGGCTTGAGGTGACGTCAGGTATGATGAGTGTATGATGAATACTGACAAGTATGATGAGTGTATGATGAATACTGACAAGTGTGATGGGGGTATGATGAATACTGATAAGTATGATGGGGGAGTGTGTGATGAATACTGTCAAGTGTGATGGGGGAGTGTATGATGAATACAGTCATGTATGATAAGTGTATGATGGATACTGACAAGTATGATGGGGGAGTGTATGATGAATATTGTCAAGTATGAAAGGTGGAGTGTATGATGAATGCTGATAAGTATGATCGGGGTGTATGATGAATACTTTCAAGTGTGATGGGGGAGTGTATGATGAATACTTTCTAGTATGATGGGGGAATGTATACTGTCAAGTATGATGAATGTATGATGATAAATACTGTCAAGTATGATGAATACTGATAAGTATGCCATGGAATGTATGATGAATACTGATAAGTATGCCATGGAATGTATGATGAATACTATCAAGTATGATGAATGTATGATGACGAATACTATCAAGTATGATGAATGTATGATGACGAATACTGTCAAGTATGATGGGGGAGTGTGATAAATAATGTATATTATGATGGGAGAGTTTGTGATGAATACAGACACGAATGATAACGCCTTTACTGTACTGAAACTGAATAGTGAGGTGTATGGTGCGATAGTGAGGGTGACGGTGACCGATGGTGCAGAGTATGGTGTCAATGGGAACACTGATGGTGAAGGGTTTTGTGGTGGGTATGGTGATGGGGAACATACTCCTAGTATTTTCTATTTGATAGTGAGCATGGATGATGCACGGTGTGACGGTGAATAGTGTAGTGATTTACAGTGTGTTATAGTGATAAGACAGTGCTGTGGATGGTGCAGTTTGATAGTGTCCAGAATGTGTATCTTGAGAAGCTGTGTACATATTACTGTGTACATATTGAGTACATATTCTTACACATATCAGATATGTAACGTTTCCAACAGCTTAAGAAACTTTAGAGCAACGTTCCATGCTTAGATTCACTAAGGAGATTGAGAGTAAAGGTAAGTGGTCTTTCCAAGATGTAAACAGGCTTGGACAAGAATGGTGTATGGTCTTCTCACTGTAATCTACCATCTACACCATCTACCCTGGTAGATACAAGGGTATAGTGATGCTGAGGAGAATGTTCTCGTGTCCCTGGTAGATACAAGAGTATAGTGATGCTGAGGAGAATGTTCTCGTGTCCCTGGTAGATACAAGAGTATAGTGATGCTGAGGAGAATGTTCTCGTGTCCCTGGTAGATACAAGAGTATAGTGATGCTGAGGAGAATGTTCTCGTGTCCCTGGTAGATACAAGGGTATAGTGATGCTGAGGAGAATGTTCTCGTGTTCAACACACTCAGCTCCAGAGGCCCAGGCGGGATGCTGGATGTTCTACCATCTTCAAGATCAAGATAGAACATTAAGAATCTTCCTCTGACCATTATAAACACTTCATCTCTATCTTGGTTATATATTTCATTGTGGCAGCTAAATTGTATTCACTTCTAATCTGCCTTTGGAAATGTTGACATGATCAACGAAACGCATCTCTTAATATCAGCCCCATAATAAAACGGTAAAATGATCTTTGGAAGCTTAATTTTTCATTTTCCATCTCAAGTGAAGAACATAAGAAATATAAAGAAGATTATATATATATATATATATATATATATATATATATATATATATATATATATATATATATATATATATATATATATATATCTATATGTCGTACCTAGTAGCCTGAACGCACTTCTCAGCCTACTATGCAAGGCCCAATTTGCCTAATAAGCCAAGTTTTCATGAACTAATTGTTTTTCGACTACCTAACCTACCTAACCTAACCTATAAAGATAGGTTAGGTTAGGTTAGGTAGGGTTGGTTAGATTCGGTCATATATCTACGTTAATTTTAACTCCAATAAAAAAAAATTGACCTCATACATAATGAAATGGATAGCTTTATCATTTCATAAGAAAAAAAATTAGAGAAAATATATTAATTCAGGAAAACTTGGCTTATTAGGCAAATCGGGCCTTGCATAGTAGGCCGAGAAGTGCATTCTGGCTACTAGGTACGACATATATATATTGTACCTAGTAGCCAGAACGCAGTACTTGGCCTACTACGCAAGGCCCGATTTGCCTAATAAGCCAAGTTTTCCTGAATATATATATTTTCCTACTTATTTTTTCTTATGAAATGATAAAGGTATCTATTTCATCATGTATGATTTAACTTTCTTAAATTTGAGTTAAAACTAACGTAGATATATGACCTAACCTAACCAACCCTACCTAACCTAACCTAACCTATCTTAACCTAACCTAAACTAACATAACTACGTCAATAATGTATGTTCTTAATATAATGTAATAATAATAATTCAAATAAACTTATTGGAAGCAATTTATTGAAAATAACAAAAATCACTCGGCCTATTAGGCAAATCGGGCCTTGTATAGTAGGCCCAGAAGTGCCTTCTGGCTAATAGGTACAACATATATATGTATTTAGCTTTCTTTACTTAATTGGCTGATAGACAAATTCTTGTTTACTTCCAGGTGAGTGTGGAGCTGCGTGAGTGAGTCATGAGCCACCTCGAGATGTCCAGGTGAACAACGTGAGTCGCTGGGTAATGAATCATTGTGTCTTACTCAGCTTTTTATGAAGTGTTTTGACTCATCCTAAGTCTTACTCTACTAGTTTCCCCAAGAACACGACCACCTGTAACTCCATTTACAATCACGTCTCCAATTGCTGTTGGTGAACAGTGGCAAACAGTTGTAAGGATTAGTGCCCAGTCAACCCTCGCTAACCGGACATCGATCCCGGACGCAATCTGTCGCGGAGTGCGGGGCGAGCCAGTCACCACTGCGCCACCTGGAATCTTGACCTCATATGAGGTGCTAAGGTTTATACTATTTTTTTCATGGGTGACAATCTTGTGATGGCGAAGCACAATCATATTGGAATGTTACTTTTCCTGTTGGACATTAGCGATTTATCGTTATCTATCGTTATCTAACGTTATTTATCGTTATTGTTTATTTATCGTTAGCCATTGTTTTGCTTTTAAAATAATAAGAAGATCAGTAGGGGCGAAGTGGAGGATTACTCATTGATACATCACTTGAATGTGATTTCTTTGTGAATACGAAATAACATTAACTGTTGTTAATCACTGTACAGCACCTACGTGAGACCAATTCTACAGTATGCAGCCTCTTCGATGAGCCACACATTTCAAAAAGCACATAAGGGAATTTGAAAAAGTACAAAGGCCTGCATTCAGACGCGTTCAAGAATTTCGAGGAATGAAGTATGAAAAAGACTAAGAAAGCTCGACCTAACATTGTTAAAAAAAGAGAAATAGTGAAGAGCCATGATAGAGATGTATAAAATACTTAGGATTGAAAGCGTGGAAAAATACGAGAGGTGCCCAAATAACTCCAATAGAACAGGAGGGTGTGGAGGGAAGATTGAGAAGCATGTTGTTGATGTTGTTAAAGATTCGCTACCTGGAACAAAGTTCCAAGTAGCACGGGCTATGGTGATCCCGCAGGATTGAGAGAAGCAGATGGGTCATACAGACATTAAAATGTTTGATTTTAAAGCATCAATTGTAGGGAATAAACTTAATTATCAAATTGTAGAAGCGAGCTCCATTTATAATTTCAAAAGTTAAAGTGAAAGAAAAGCATGTTAGGAAACGTCACACACACACACACACACACACACACACACACACACACACACACACACACACACACACACACACACACCCACACACACACACACACACACACACACACACACACACACACACACACACACACACACACACACACACACACACACACACACACACACACACACACACACACACACACACACACACACACACACACACACACACACACACCCACACACACACACACACACACACACACACACACACACACACACACACACACACACACACACACACACACACACACACCACACACACACACACACACACACACACACACACACACACACACACACACACACACACACACACACACACACACACTCACGCGTGCCACCTCCCACTTGACATATGAGCCGAGCCCCTTATGAAACAACGCCCACACCACACATTGCACTGCAATATACCTCGTTGGTGGGAAAATACTTGTGTGATGGTGGCTCAGGTACCGCGCCTCACACACCATAAACACATTCACTGCCACTTGTGAGGGACCAGAACGCCTCACGACACCTGACACAGGCGACAGGAAGAGATGAGAGGGTGAAGGTGAGGAACGGATGAGAACATGGTGAGTGAAGGCAGTAGAGAGAGAGAGAGAGAGAGAGAGAGAGAGAGAGAGAGAGAGAGAGAGAGAGAGAGAGAGAGAGAGAGAGAGAGAGAGAGGAGAGAGAGAGGGGGCAGAGAGAGACAGAGAGAGACAGAGAGAGACAGAGAGAGACAGAGAGAGAGAGAGAACAATTATATTCCTCCTGCCTTACTACTTACTTCCCCATCCTATCCACATCTTCACCTATCCACAACCTACCAACTATTTCCCCACTCGCCAACACCCTATAACTATCCCTACCCTCTGCTACAGCCTATACGAACTATAACTTCACCCTCTAACAGATCCCTACCCTCTCCCTCTATCTATCCCGCAACGACTATCCCCAATCCCGTTTCCCCCCCCCCCTACGGGCTGAGGAAGGATGTAGATTAATGTTTCCCTCACGCCGGAACATTTATCGATTAACAGAAACCGATAAATACATTTACCGGATAAGAAGACACAGAAATATGCTGGTTTTCCTCCACTCCATTAGCTGTGGTGGCGTCGAGGGTAAGACATGACCCAATATTCTCCCCATGGGTCGCCGTGCCCAACCACCGCGACTTCTCAAGGCGTCGGAGGTAAGACAGGGCCCAATAGCCTCCTCCTGGGTCGCAGTGCCCAATCACAGCCACTTCTCAAGGCGTCGGAGGTAAGACACGGCCCCAATAGCCTCCTCCTGGATCGCAGTGCCCAACCACCGCTACTTCTCAAGGCGTCGGAGGTAAGACACGGCCCAATAGCCTCCTCCTGGGTCGCAGTGCCCAACCACCGCTACTTCTCAAGGCGTCGGAGGTAAGACACGGCCCAATAGCCTCCTCCTGGGTCGCAGTGCCCAATCACCGCGACTTCTCAAGGCGTCGGAGGTAAGACACGGCCCAATAGCCTCCTCCTGGGTCGCAGTGCCCAATCACCGCGACTTCTCAAGGCGTCGGCGGTAAGACACGGCCCAATAGCCTCCTCTCGGTCAAGGATACAGCGTCTACCTCTCTCAAAGGACCTGGACGCATGAAAAATCAAGGTTTGTTTAACGGATATATTGATATATTTCGTCCCACCACCGAGATCGTCTCCTTAGGAAGGTTTTTTGTCTTGAAGGAAAGACCAATAGAGGGGAAGTTATGGGCCCATGACGAGGAGGAAGACCTACAGGAGAAGTTGTAATGGGTCTTTATCAATGGGGAGCTCTCGTGAAGGTAATATGGTGGCCTCTGTAGGGTGAGAGCCCCATTACAGAGGGAATTGGAGGTCTTTTGTCGTGGGGGAGAGACCTGTAGGTAATAATAATGAGTCCTTTATCGTGGGGAGTACACATGGAGGTGCAGTCATTGGCTCTTTTGGTCAAACGCCCATGAGTGGGTGGTGGGAATTGTATCTAAACGCGCCCACCGGGCCAGAACGCGCCCACCGGGCCAGAACGCGCCCACCGGGCCAGAACGCGCCCACCGGGCCAGAACGCGCCCACCGCCTGAACGTGCCCACCGGAGGCACCTCTCACTCTATCCATCAAACGCATCCACCGAGAATACCCACACTCAACCACCTGAATTCATCCACCGGGGGGATACACCCTCACCCACCCACCTCTCATCCACCGGAAATTCCCACACTTACCCAACCTCAACTCACCCACCGGCGATACCTACATTCATCCACCTAAACTCACCCAGATGAACTCAACAACTGGAATGCACTCGGAAGTCATGTGGTGGAGACAGACTCCATACACAGTTGCAAATGTAGATATGATAGAGCTCAATAACCTCTAGAACTTGTACACCAGTTGACTGTCTATTGAGAGGCGGGACCAAAGAGCTGAACCTCAAACCCCCGCAAGTACAACTAGGTGAGACAACGAACCACTTTATAAAGTTACAGAAATAAGATTAAACAAATTATATCTCGAGACAGCAAATGAATTACTTAATCCACTAAAGGAAACTAACATTGAATTCTTTCGCTTTAAAAACTTCAATAACCTCTCAAGAAACGGCGCGAGAAACGCGAATTTGAGGTCAGAAAAGGTTTAATATTGAGGCTTTCACGTTCAGGAGTCCTGACGCACATCCACAAATTTTCCAGCAAACAGCACCACCAAAACACTCTGCTCCAGGGAACCCTTGTTTTCCAAAGTCCATTTTCCATCATCCTTAAGTAGAGTCGCAAAGATTTTCAACAACTTTCTGGAAATACAAACATCTTTTTGTGTGGCAGTTTTAGCTCTCACGAATCCGCTAGCACTTGAGAGGGAAGAGAAGGAGGAGGAGGAGGACGAGGAGGAGGAGGACGAGGAGGAGGAGAAGGACGAAGACGAGGAGGGGAGTAGTAAATTCTAGATCAGGAGAGAGCAAGTTTCTGGGGAGGAAGAAGGCAGCATGTAAGAATATAATATAATATTATATATATATATATATATATATATATATATATATATATATATATATATATATATATATATATATATATATATAAATTGTCAACCACACTATCGTGGAAATAAATATTTCATTCACTTGAGCACTAGGAAACTCGAACTCCCGACCCCACGAGGGTGAGGCAAAAGCTCCACCACTGTACCACGCAGATGGCTTCAATAGAGAAGATTTCAGAGGCAGCAATCCGCTGCCCAACTGAAATGTTATTCTTCTCCTTTATGCTTCTGGCGCTAAAGATCCACGTGTTGAACTCTTCCTTCCAATGACACGTCTACAAATGACACGACTCAAGAGGTAACAGCATCGTAAGAAGGTAACTGAGAAAAATAAGGAAGAAGTCAATCTGAACGTTGGAACAAGGCAGTTACAGCCAACAACCTCAATCATTCTCGACGATAAGATGGCCGAAGGAGAGAACATGTAAAACCAAGACTTCGTCAGTGATACAAGTACCCATTGAGATACGAGATGGAAGCAACAGCTTATCATTGGAGTTGCAGAACATACGGAGAGTTAAGAAAACACAATTTGTCAAATGTGGATGCTGTTCTCGAGAGACTGACCTCGCATCTACAAAGTAAATATACGGAGATGGCGCATTTGGAAGGGATATGAGGATAAGGAGCTGGGATAGGACGGAGGGAAGGAACGGTGCCAACGGTCACTTTGTTGGACATTGCGCTTGATTGGACCAATGTTGGAAAACAGTCGAGAGAAAGGATAAGGTAAGGGATAAGGAGGGCTCACCCTAAGGGAGGCTTTAAGGGAGGCTTTAAGGGAGGCTTTAAGGGTGGGCCTGGGGGAAGACCTTATGGATGTCCTTGAGGGAGAGCTTGAAAGGTTACCCTAAAGGAGGAATTTAAGAGGCGCTAAAGGAAAGCTTTAAAGTTGGTTCTGAGGAAGGGCTAAATGATGGACCCTGAGGAGGTTCTCTGAGTAAGAGTCCTGAGGAAGGGGTCTTGAAGGAGAGGACCTGAAAGTATCCCCTGAGCCCTGAGACAAGGGTCCTCAATGAGTCCCCGGATAGACCACCACAAGAGCCTAATCATTAAATTAACACCGGTCATCGGAGGTCACTCACAGTCCTCGACAAAAACTTATCCGGCCGCCGGAAACGATGTGCGAATTGAGATATGCAAATCAGACAAAAATAATAGTTATGGGAAGTGCGCTCAAGAAGTCCT